CTGACTTTCTACCCCACTAGGACATCACACAAGCGATAAACACCCGATGACACAAAGTGCCACCATGTGGATGAGGATCGCCGTGGAGAGGTCCCAGAAACCGCGTTAAGAAAATTGGCCATATTTATGGCCTGCCTATATTGCGGCCCCTGGCAAAAGCCAGGGTGGGGCTTCAAATAACAAAAAATTTCATCCTAAAAGGGACGAAAATGGATTATATAAGTCGTTGACCATCTCACAGTCCTTAAGAAAGAAAATAGGCGCTTTTGATCTGAAATGCTCTAGAAAGAATCTTAGAATACCATGGACAAAAAGAGAGAGAGAAAGAGAGAGAGAGACACAGAGAGAGAGAGAGAGAGAGAGAGAGAGAGAGAGAGAGAGAGAGAGAGAGAGAGAGAAAGAGAAGAAATACTGACATTTTAAAAGATCTGAACATCAAGGAAGATTGGCTAATAAACAGCACCTTGTCCCAGAAGATAAAATATTTTGGCCATAACAAGCGCCATGACCAATTGAAAAAAAAAAATAACAGACGGCATTTAACCAGGAAGGAGGGGCAGGGGCCGACCAACACGAACGTAGGCACAGGATATACAGGACTGCTTGAATGTGAAAGTACACGAGGCGAGAGAGCTGGCGAGAGACTGAGTATCTTTCAAGCAGACCGTGATGAGAGCGACGTTATGCAAAGGACCTGCTACCCGATGATGACTTGACAGTCGCACAGTATGAAAAATGAGCAGTCTTCTGGATGTTTCAACACAGTAGAGACTATGCCTGAACCTCTGTGAGCAAGTTTGGTGGGTGTATAGCCAGCTCCACGTGAAACTGAGTTCATTACATCGCAGTTTGTCCCCTACAGGATTGCAGTTTGCCAGATATACACCCCACGAATGAGAATCCAACCTATATAAATCGCGTTTAGTTCCGTTCATCTGTAAGGCTATACTGGTACCCCGACGGTTAGGAAGTAACCTGAAAGCCGGAAATAGCAGGAAGACGTGGTGAAGCATTTGTCTCGTGAACCACGACTGTCATACGAACGCTGCTAAAGCAGTAGGGCATTTGCCTGACTGACTGACTTTCTACCCCACCAGGACATCACACAAGCGATAAACACCCGATGACACAAAGTGCCACCATGCGGATGAGGATCGCCGTGGAGAGGTCCCAGAAACCGCGTTAAGAAAATTGGCCATATTTATGGCCTGCCTATATTGCGGCCCCCGGCAAAAGCCAGGGTGGAGCTTCAAATAAAAAATGTCATCCTGAAAAGGATAAAAGGGATCATCCATCCAAATATAAAGCCGTGTTTTTACCGTTGTGTGTGTTTGTAAGTGTGTGACAGACACAGAGAGAGAGATGAGGGGAGAGAGAGAGAGAGAGAGGGGGGGGGGGGGGTCGGGTGGCGGGGGGGGGGATAGGGAGAGAGAATAAGACGGAAAAAAGATAGGGAAGGGTAAAAAATATCCAAAATATGCGAGCTGCCCTCCCCCTTCTCCCTCTCCCTCTGTGTGTGTGTGTGTGTGTGTGTATGTATGTATGTGTGGGTGAGAGAGAACGAGAGGGAGTGAGAGAGAGAGAGAGAGAATGTGTTAGTAAGTTATGCCACATGGAAAAGCCTGCAACACTCAAGTCAAATAGAAGTGGAGAATAAGAAAGAAAGCATGACGAAAGAAAGGAAGCCAGATAAAAACAGAAAGAAAGAAATTTATGTTGGCGAACAAACAGGAGATATTAAAGAAAAAAAGGTCGTAAAAACAAAACAAAACAAGATAAGGGAGGGAAGAAGTTAAAAGTATGGACATTTTCTAAGAACAAAATAATAGAAAGGAAGGGGTGAAAAAAGAAAGAAGTCAGGAATTCATCAAGTAGAATGGCAAGAGCAATGGAAACAGAAATTAAAGAAAAATCAAAAAAAAAAAAAAAAAATAACTATGACACATGGAAAGAAGCGAAAAAGAAAGTAAAAATACGAAGATTACTTCATCCAAACAGTATGGAATATAAAAGCACGGATATGAAGAAGAGTACAAGCATTGTAATAGATATCAACATTAATTTAAAAACTACCATTAAAAAAAAGCAAATAACATGTGTGTCCGTTACATAATCTGCTTCTCTGCGTTCGGTTTCGCATGCTCAGGTCAGATCGTCAGGTGGGTTGCCTCTATGAATGAGCATTTCATTTGCAGGTTTTCAATTGTTCAACATAGCTTGTTCTGCACACTTTATCTCGGGGACTGAGTGGTCTCGATGCATGGCGTCCGCTTCGAGTCCTTGAGGTCCCGGATTCAAGCCCTGGTGACGGCTGGGATTTTTTCAAGTGGACTTCAAGTAATTTCACTGAGTCTCTGTAAGACCGGACGCCCGCGTGTATTGTTGCGCACGTAAAAAAATCCGTTGGCAGCTGGAGATCGAAAAGAGTAGCCTAACGGCGCTACCCGGGCACAATTTTGAGTTTAAAATCTACCCAAAGTATTTCAGGATTTTCGCCGACGCTATGGAGTTCGTGCACTACACAGAGATTCTTCGGGCTCAGGCTTGAGTCAGAAATTGAACGGAGCACGGATGTGAGTCGTTGACTGTATTGCTAGATACAGTGCGACAGTCATCCTTAAGACAGAAACAAAGGAAAGAAGAAATTAAAAAAATTAAAAAAAGGAGAAAACATATATTCACGAAAGAAAAGAAGAGTAACGGAAAGCAAGGTAGAAAAAAGAAAGACTTTAAAAAAAGCGAGGTAAAACAGACAGAAAGAAATAAAAATACAGAAAATTAGGGGAAAAAAATAGAAGAATTACAGAAATAGGAAACCAACAAATGAGGAAAAAACGACGAAAAGGAAGAAAGAATAATACTAGTTAAATCACCAGGCGCCTCATGCAGCTTCAACCAACACATGAGCATGACAAATCTATAGAAGAAGACACTTGTTAGCAGCTAACAGAGTAGTAAAAGCAAAATAAAAAAAAAAAAAATAAAAAAAGAGAGAGACTTGAAAAAATTAAAATAAGACAAAGTTATGAAGAGGGAGAAGGAAAGAAGAATTAAAGGATGATCCTTAAAAAAAAAAAAAAAAAGGGAAAGAAAAAATGAAGAAAAAAAAAAAGAAAGAAAAATACTAGTCATCTCAAACAGATTCAACCAACACATGGGCATAATACATACAGACCTACGGATGAGTACACTTGTTTACAGCTGAAAAAGCAATAACCGATTTAAACCAAATAAAGGGCGATTGGGGGAGGGGGGGTGGGGGGGGGCGCAAGACATTAAAAAATTGAGTGGCAAAAAAGGAAGATAAAAAAGGTATTAAAAAACTGAAAGAAAGAAAAAGAAAAAAAAAAAAAAATTTTTTCAAAGAAAAAACAAGCAAAAGTAGAAAGGAAAAAAAAGGAGAAAGAATAATAATAGGTAAATAATTTTAGCCTCAACCAACACATCAGCATGGCACACAGAAAACCCTACAGAAAAAAAAAAGACACTTGTTTGCAGCTGATAAAGCAGTAATCATTCCCAAAATAATATGTGCAGACAACATACGCCACACGAACATTTTAAAGTGATCTTTATCAAACCCAACATATTATATGTCTATAGGGAGAGGGTAATCCCCTACAGGGACTGTCTTAGGGCCATGGCATGTTCACACGGCATTGTGTCATTTGTCATGTTCGCACAAAATGCAGGTTGCAATGGGTCTCCATAATCGTGTGTCATTTTCATTCTCTTTACCGTCGGCTCCTTGGCTAAGTCGATGCGAACTTCGTTATGCCAGGATGCCGGGTTCGATCCCAGCTGCGGGCCATTCGCCTTGCGTTGGTTTCGACAGTGGTATCAAGAAAGCCGACCGTTAAGAGGCAATGGCAACTACTGGACGTAAATTTGCCTAGAAAAACCACAACCAAGGGCTGTTGAGGTTGGTTCTGCAACGTCCTGTAAAGGATACGCAACTAACTTTATCTATTTCTTTACCAGTCGATATTTTATATTTCTTTATTGTTTAAGTAAAAGTATAGGACCCTTTTCCACATCATAAGGCGTATTGGGCATATAGGGCTAGACCTATATTTTTATAGACCAATCAATCATTACTCGGTTAGTGATACTGTGAATATCACACTGGCAGCCTTTACTTCCCAGGTTTTCACCTTGTACCCACTCAAGGCCGGGTCGACCTGAGAGCCAAGTTTATTTCTGATAATAAGTCCGGTTTCATTATTGAAGTGCATTACGTTTAATGAGATCTGACACATTATTGTTGCAACATTTGTATATTGATGGCTTCATACACAACACAGTTGACGTGCATTTATATTGATGGCATCATGTTTAACATTGCCGAACTCGTTTTTTTTTTTTTGGGGGGGGGGGGGGGGGAGGGAGGGGGTCAAAATCTAATTAGTCATGGTCTTAGTCGATGTCTCAACAACACATCAATCAGGTTACCCATACTTGCTCCATTCCCGTGCCAGTGCAAATCAAAGGAAGTGTCCCTCATTGTTGCAACTGAAAAACTGGTGAAAACAACTAGTCCTGCAACAATTCAGAAATATGCGTACGCAGTTAATGCGCATTTCAGTTGCTGGAGGCGCCAAAGCCAACAATAGCCACCAGAAATTCAGTTTGTCGTTGATGGAAGTAGTCGGACACGATAAGTTGGTTACTATACACACGTAGAATTATTACATAGGGTATTTCACCAACTGACACGTAAACCGGCTACCGACCATACTGAATACCACGACGCAACAGCTGCACAAATGAAAGGCATTACACAGGAAAAAACGCAGGTCACAGAGCTGCAACCAATCACTAAACTCAGTAGCCCAGGTAGCGAAACTGTAGACTACCGTCCTTTGTGGAAACTGCATTAGCAAAGTGCTGTCGGAAGTAAAAATAACTTTGAAGCTTTACATTCTGCCAAGCCTTTCCTCCATTTTGGCCGGAAGTCCACAACATCTAATACAACACTGTGGAAATACTTTTTGTTTCAGGAGAGGCACCTCCACAGACCACCCTTCTATTTTTTGCTGAGCATGGGAGTGACAGACTTGTCTAGGGCGGTGTTCTGCGTTCCTGTTGTCATGACTACAGTCATGCATGGATCAAGATGGAGGTAACATGTCTATTTTATATACAGAGTAAATGACTGACGGATTATTTGACTGACAGTGTGTATGACTGACAGAGAATAGGACTGAGAGTTTTGCTAATTTGTACAGTCAAGTTACACTAGTGAAGAAGTTAAGAGTACCCAAATTATGACATCTTTAAAGGTTGAACGGGGTATCTGTCATTTGTTTTCTTAGTCTGCCGTCCAGACTGGGATTAAAAAATTATATTTCAATTTAAAAAAATGTAAATCTTAGGAAGGATCTTTAGATAGAGGCCTGACCTTGACAACAGACCGTTTGAACGACTGACGACAGATAACAGTATCTGACAGACTGATAACAGTATCTGACAGACTGATAACAGTATCTGACAGACTGATAACAGTATCTGACAGACTGATAACAGTATCTGACAGACTGATAACAGTATCTGACAGACTGATAACAGTATCTGACAGACTGATAACAGTAACTGACAGACTGATAACAGTATCTGACAGACTGATAACAGTATCTGACAGACTGATAACAGTATCTAACAGACTGATAACAGTATTTGACAGACTGATAACAGTATCTGACAGACTGATAACAGCATCTGACAGACTGATAACAGTATCTGACAGACTGATAACACTATCTGACAGACTGATAACAGTATCTGACAGACTGATAACACTATCTGACAGACTGATAACACTATCTGACAGACTGATAACACTATCTGACAGACTGATAACAGTATCTGACAGATTGATAACACTATCTGACAGACTGATAACAGCATCTGACAGACTGATAACTCTATCTGACAGACTGATAACAGTATCTGACAGACTGATAACACTATCTGACAGACTGATAACAGTATCTGACGGATTGATAACAGTATCTGGCAGACTGATAACAGTATCTGACAGACTGATAACAGTATCTGGCAGACTGATAACAGTATCTGACAGACTGATAACACTGTCTGACAGACTGATAACACTATCTGACAGACTGATAACACTATCTGACAGACTGATAACACTATCTGACAGACTGATAACCCTATCTGACAGACGGATAACACTATCTGACAGACTGATAACAGTATCTGACAGACTGATAACACTATCTGACAGATTGATAACACTATCTGACAGACTGATAACACTATCTGACAGACTGATAACACTATCTGACAGACTGATAACAGTATCTGACAGACTGATAACACTATCTGACAGACTGATAACAGTATCTGACAGACTGATAACAGTATCTGACAGATTGATAACAGTATCTGACAGACTGATAACAGCATCTGACAGACTGATAACACTATCTGACAGACTGATAACAGTATCTGACAGATTGATAACAGTATCTGGCAGACTGATAACAGCATCTGACAGACTGATAACACTATCTGACAGACTGATAACAGTATCTGACAGATTGATAACAGTATCTGGCAGACTGATAACAGCATCTGACAGACTGATAACACTATCTGACAGACTGATAACAGTATCTGACAGACTGATAGCACTGTCTGATAGACTGATAACACTATCTGACAGACTGATAACACTATCTGACAGACTGATAACAGTATCTGACAGACTGATAACATTATCTGACAGATTGATAACACTATCTGACAGACTGATAACAGCATCTGACAGACTGATAACACTATCTGACAGACTGATAAAAGTATCTGACAGACTGAAAACACTATCTGACAGTCTGATAACAGTATCTGACAGACTGATAACGCAAGTGTGACATCAATGTATTCAATATTAAACATCAGTGAACTCTGCATCACTTAAAGTGGTCCAACAATTCTCCACATTAACAAACCGCACTTAGACAGACCAGAAATGGAGACGGTGTATCAGGTATTATGTAGGCCTCGCATACTATCCCTATGGGAAGCAGTTTTTTTGTTTTTGTCCTTGGCTCCCAGCTCGAGCCAGCCTTAAATGGGTACCAGGTAGAGTCTTAAAAAGCAAAGACAGCCGTCGTGATGCTGACCACACACCTAGCAGTACCGACTGGTCAATAATATATACATCTAGCCCTATATGGCCAATACGCCGGAAAGCGTGAAAAAGGGACCGTTACCTCCTTTTTTTCCCAATAATATCTCTATAAACTAAGCAATTCTAGTTATTCATGAGGCAGGAGAGACACCCTGGTGCTGGAAATAACTAGACTGCCCTTTTAGTGGTCCTCGCAGAGCAACGAAGACAGACAGACACAGACAAACCGACACAGACTGACAGATAGACAAAGACAGACAGACAAAGACATACAGACAAAGACAGATAGACCAAGAAAGACAGACACAGACAGATAGACACAGACAGACAGACAGGCAAGCAGAAAGACAGACGGACGGACGGACAAACATATGGACGGACAGACAGTCAGGTAAACAGATAGAAAAAGTGTCGTGTGGACATACAGACAGACAACTGTCATGTAAGGCGCTCTGTAAGTACATAAAAATTTATTTTATGACGACAAAGTAAAAAGACAGAAATAAAAACTCGGAAGCAACTTGTAATTAAATTAATTATCAGCATTACTGCATACATAAGACTGAAAAGTGAAAGTAGAAGCGCTGCCGAAGTTTAAAGGAAACACGGAATAGGAATTCACGAAATCAGTCGAATGCTAGGAATAAAGGCAGTCTTTCACAGTCGAATGCTAGGAATAAAGGCAGTCTTACAAGTCACTAAAGAACAACAAATGAAGTGGTTTGGATAACCTAACAAGAATGGCCTGGTACTATCTGCCACAGCGAGCCACACTGAAACGTTACAGCGGGTATAGAGCGAGCAGAAGAACTCGGAAAATATAGAGGGATGGCATAAAGACCAGGCTAACAGAAATGAATATCAGTCTCATCACAGCACATCGACGAACGTTAAATCTCCCCCGCCCCCCCCCCCCCCCCCAGACATTTTACTTAAATACAAGGTGGAAGAAGAAGAAGAAGAAGAAGAAGAAGAAGAAGAAGAAGAAGAAGAAGAAGAAGAAGAAGAAGAAGAAGAAGAAGAAGAAGAAGAAGAAGAAGAAGAAGAAGAAGAAGAAGAAGAAGAAGAAGAAGAAGAAAGAGGAGGAGGAGGAGGAAAAGAAAAAGAAGAAGATAAGTGAAATAATTTGTACGCAGACAAATAATACATTAAATTTATTGAGTCAATTAACCTCCAAAAACTGTATAAAGATAAAGAATATTACATAAAGTATCAATTTATTTATTATTTGAAAAGAATACACGAACAGAAACTATTACAAACACGAAAGAAGCAAAGCCCCGTATGTTGCAGTCAACAGCTAAAATAATTGTGTAAAGTATAACTCAAACAGGGTTGAATTGTGTGATTATTTTCCTCAAAAGAAAACAATACCCGATGTAAGCATAGATAGAATAATTGAAATATCGTGTGTGTTAGATTCTAGAAATTGATGAAAAGACATGTCCTCCGTGTTGAACGTGACATTCTATTCAACATGCCAACAATTACGTTATTGTGTAGAAGATTATAGATAACAATAACTGTGTTCTGTAATGAATGGCTTCCAGATTTGCCAATTTTCAGGTCTGGCGATTACAGTTCTAATTGTTTCTCCTAATATTTAGATTGACGAGATTGGCATAGTGGTTATTGATTGAAATTAATCTCCGGTTTTTTTCAACCCACACAACGATCCTGGCAAACGTTCTTGGGCTCGTTTTAAAACCTAATTCACCCTCATACATGTCTCCCTAATTAACCGAAGCATGTTCTCCTCTCCAGACATGGTGAATCAGCCTGCAAGCTGTTTGCCTTCGCCACCTCTTTCTTCGTGTTCAGCTCGGCTTTGTCACTTCTTGCCATCGCCATCGACCGCCACGTCTCGATCGTCTACTCCAAGACGTATCGCCGTCGCTCTCTGGGAATTGCCAATCTTGTTGTTGCTGTTATCATATGGATCATTGCGTTCTCCGTATCCTTCCCTCCAGTGGTTGGAGTTGGGAATTACGTGTTCATCCCTGATGAGTCTCAATGCGCCTACCAACACAAACACTACACGCACAACGATTCCATTTCATCCGTTCTGGTCTTCATCGCCATTTTGTTCCTGACCTACTTTCTGTATTTCCGCATCTTCCGCTTTCTGCGGGGTCATCGGCGCATGCGGCCTTTACAGCATACACCAGCCTTGAGTACTAACTGGGCCTTCATTGGTCCTGGGGCCAACGGACAAGCGTTCATCAACTGGCTAAACGGGTTCGGAGGTCAAGCACCAGTGCGTCAGGGAGGTCAGAGAGCTGTCCAGAGGCTTAACTTTGGACGAGTGGTCAACCTATCGACCGCAAAAAACGAGCACCTAACCAGACTGTTCCTCGTTGTGACCCTAGTGTTCGGTATAGCCTGGTCAGCTTACATCACTCTTTCATTGTGGAGGATATTTTTCGATGCATCACTTATTCCATCGGTTTATATTACAGTTTCCGCTTGGCTGGGATATGGACAGTTGGCTATTTGTCCGATAGTGTATTTCTTGATGCGTGGACCTATGAAAAAGCCATCGAAAGCAGCATATGAGCAAACAGAGAAGAGGGAGTTCCTTCTAGAGAACAAAACTGAAAAGTGACATGAACTTCATGCAGTAATAACTAATGGAAGAAAGCAGAGGTGGCTGCAGTCGAGTTAATATCAGAAAGAGATGAAAAAGGAGTGATTGTATTCAAGCTGTTAACGAGAAACCAATTCGCTAAACATAAACAATAACTAGGACTGTTTATGCTATGCTCCTGGACGATATGGCGGATAGGCATGTTTATATTTTTTTAGTTGTTGCAAGGTTTTGCTTTTGATAATTGTTAGCTGTTGCATTTTCCTCCATATGTAGACTGAAAGAATATAGTTTCGTCACCCATGGCAATATAGTATAATCTACGGATCTCATTTTAGAATGCTTTTCGACTGTGCCCAGCATAGTTTGTATTGTGAACTGCAGATTCAGATAATGGCAAGTGACCTGTTGCCCGAGAACTGGTAGTCCCTTATGCGATTAATTGCGTGTGCAACTACTGATCTGTTGTAACTGCTGCTCCCATTGACAGTGAAATGCACTTGCAGTGTCAAACTGTTTGTGTTGGCATTTTTGATTGCTGCCTTATGCATTCATTGCACGTGTATGCTGTTGGATTTGCTAAGACTGCTGTGTGTCAATTTATTCACAAAGGATAGTTCCCCGTCTATTTATGTGAGTTAGAAGTAGAACGGATCACTTATGGGCTACTTACCTTGTGCCATGATGTTGATTCTTTTTTTAAAAACCAAATACCATGCCCCATTAGTGGTGAGAAGAAGGAAAAGAAAAAAAAAGAAGAAGAAGAAAAAGAAGAAGAGGAAGAAGAAGAAGAAAAGAAGAAGAAGAAGAAGAAAAAGGAGAAGGGGAAGAGGAGAAGGAGGAAGAAGAAGAAGAAGAAGAAGAAGAAGAAGAAGAAGAAGAAGAAGAAGAAGAAGAAGAAGAAGAAGAAGAAGAAGAAGAAGAAGAAGAAGAAGAGGAACAACAACAACAACAACAAACGAACGAACGAACGAACTTTATTTTCAAAGGGTCACAAACTGGACAGCAGCAGCAGCAGCAGCAGCAGAAGAAGAAGAAGAAGAAGAAGAAGAAGAAGAAGAAGAAGAAGAAGAAGAAGAAGAAGAAGAAGAAGAAGAAGAAGAAGAAGGAAGTTACATGCTAATTACACATCTGTTCTGATTTGTTTCCTCTCTAAAGTTGATATAATTAAGAAGATGTATAATAAATTATATCTTTCCCTAATACTAATTTTATATATTTCTCTAATTATTCATAAATATGTTATAATACTCTTTCGTTCACAATGAAAATGTTAACATTAACGTCATGATTACTTTATATGTACATATGAATAAGTTGATACGAATGTTAGTTACTTGCCTGATCAAATGAACGTGTTCACACAAATGTCAGTTATTTCTTTGTCAAATGAACAAAGTTGCATTAACATAATTTACTTCCTTGTGCAAATGAACAATTTCACACTTCTGACAGGGACTTCTATGTACAAATGAACAAATTCACACTTCTGACAGGGACTTCTATGTACAAATGAACAAATTCACACTACTGGCAGTGACTGTTATGTACAAATGAACAAATTCACACTACTGGCAGTGACTGTTATGTACAAATGAACAAATTCACACTACTGGCAGTTACTTCTATGTACAAATGAACAAATTCACACTACTGGCAGTGACTGTTATGTACAAATGAACAAATTCACTCTACTGACAGTTACTTCTATGTACAAATGAACAAATTCACACTACTGGCAGTGACTGTTATGTACAAATGAACAAATTCACACTACTGGCAGTGACTGTTATGTACAAATGAACAAATTCACACTACTGGCAGTGACTGTTATGTACAAATGAACAAATTCACTCTACTGACAGTTACTTCTATGTACAAATGAAAAAATGCATACTACACGCAGTTACTACTATGTATTAATTTAAAAAAAACAATTCCCACTATTTACAGTTGCTTCTATGTATAACAAATGTCGACACATGACATTTTCGTCTCTATACAAATGAAAGTGTTCATACGAATAGAAGTTCTTTCTCTGTACAAACATGTTGAAACAATTGTCACATTTACTTCTCTGTACAATTTAACAAGTTAATTGAAATAAAGAAGTTAACACTAATGTTATTTTTTTTTCTCTGTACACATAAAACACGTTCAATGAATGTTCACATAAATGATATTTACATAGCTGTACGCACACACACACACACACTCAAATACTCACAAACACACTCTCTCACACACTCACACCACACACACCACACACACAACCACACACACACACCACACACACAAAAATACTCACAAACACACACCACACACACCACACACACACACACACACATACACAAAACTCACTCCAATGTCATAGCTATTTAAAACCAAGACAAAGCAATAAGTTTTCTTACTAATTCTTGTAATTCAGGTAATTCAACTGGCAGCCCACAGGCCACATGTGGTCCGCGAAGGCCTATCAGGGAGCCCGTAGATCATTTCCAGTTGCATTGTATTTTGTAATGCTGGCACTCTAGCTTATGACCCATGACGATCTTTACTGTAAACTGTTAACCCCTAAATAAACTTAGTTGAACAGCCCTGTTTAAAACCATAAGTACAAGGGTCTGCGTGGTCTCGAAGCATGGTGTCCGCCTTGAGTTCTAGAGGTTCCGGGTTCAATCCCCGGTAAGGGCTGGGATTTATTTACGTGGACTTAAACTAGTAATTCCCCCTCGTGTCTGGGTAGTGAGATCGAATGCCCGTGTGTATTGTTGCGCAGGTGAAGAAAATCCCTTGGCAGTTGGAAATCGAAAAGTGTAGCCTAGCCGCTCTTCCCGGGCAAAAATGTGGAATTAAAATTCTCCCTAATGTAACTCAGGATCCTCGCCGGTGCTACAGAGCCTGTGCGCTGTGCTGAGCTTCTTCGGACTCAGACTTGGGTTAGAATAAAGAATGCAGCACTTATGGGTTACTACCCCTGTGCTATGATGTTTGATCCGTCGTTCAAACCTCAAACCAAGAGTACCCTCTTAAACTGTCACTGTGATACTTTTGTTTCAAACATGGCATTGCTTATCTTTGACAGAAAGTTGCAGAACTAACAGTAGCATTTTTGGCTGTTTGTGATTTCACTTGTCAGTTTTTACGCTCTCTAGTTTGCGATAGCTGACTCAATGGTCGGCCTCTCGATAACACTATCGAAATCAACGCAAGACGGTCTGCTGCCACATCGCTCGCAGATGGAATGGAATCGGACTCCTTAGCATTACTTTAGCGTTCGCCCTCAAAATGATGATCGACACCTTGCCTTGTTGTTTAGAGCTAAACTGTGATATTTGAGCTTTTAGGCCAAAGCCATCCGATTTCAGTAAATGCTTAAAAGTTGCCTTTTATTGTATGCATGTTAGAAGCACTTTGCTCGACCCCCCCCCCTCCCCTCTCCCGCCCTCCCCGCTACCCTTTACCTCCACCGTCTCCTTCCCACACCCCAACCTCCATCCCACGGGGTCTTAGTGACCACATGGTGAACGTAGAATTTATGAGATAAAACAAGAATCTTCTGGAAGAAACGCCCCAACGTAACGGTAGCCTCAATAATACCGTTTAAAAAAGTTAGTTTGTATTCTTTACAGGACACTGCAAAACCAGCCCCAGCATTTTTTGGCTGTTGTGGTTTTTCTAAGCAAACTTACGTCCAGTAGTTTGCCGTTGCTGACTGGACGGTCGGCTTCTCGATAGCACTGTCGTAACCCACGCAAAGCGCAAGGCCCGCAGCTGGGATCGTACCCGGCACCCCGGCATTACGAAGCGCGTTTGCAACGCCTAACCCACTACACGCCGACCAATACTAGGGTAAAGAAAATAATTAAAGATAAGATTTGCAATAGCAGTTGATGCTGCTAGCCGCTGCGATCTTTAATCCATACTCAAAAAGCAAGGTACCCCCTTTTTTCCACGTTTTCAGGCAAATAAGGAGTCGCCATGGCGTTGGCGTCCAGACGCCCGCCTGCGGATGGGAAGGTCGTGGGTTCGCACCCTGACGGAGCCAGACTTTTTTTCTTCAAATATGACCTTGACTCCCAGGTCGACCCAACCAGGTGCAGTCCTGGGAAGTAAAGGCGCTCGATGTGATACTAACCACATCACCCATCAAGTGCTGGTTGGTCTATAGAAATATAGGTATAGTCCTATATTCCCAACGTCGGCTCTGTGGCTTATTCGATGCGAACGCTTCGTAATGCAAGGATGCTGGGTTCGATCCCAGCTGCGGGCCATGCGCCTTGCGTTGGTTTCGACAGTGGTATCAAGAAAGCCGACCGTCCAGAAGAAATGGCAAACTACTGCAAGTAAATTTGCCTAGAAAAACCACACAACAGCTAGGGACTGTTGGGGTTGGTTCTGCAACGTCCTGTAAAGGATACGCAACTAACCTTAGACTATATTTCCAGTACGCCTAAAGTCGTAGAAAAGCGACCTTTACCTTACTTCAGGCAAATAGGTCTAGACCTGTATTGTTGTGTGTGGACCAAACGGCACTCTATGGGTGATGTGGTCAACATCACGCCGGCCACCTTTACTTCGCTTGGCTTTACCTGATACCTATTTAAGATTAGATCGACCTGGGAGGCAAAGTCAATTTTGAAAGGAAAAAAAACAGTCCGGCTCCGTCAGGACCTGAAACCACACCCCCGGGTCCGCAGGCGAAGGGCTAACCCTCTACACCACGGCCATAACGAGTTGATTAACCGGCAGAAGTATTTCGTTTCCCACGATACAATGTCCTGACCTAAGCACAATGGGCTCTATTTTGCTGGTATTTACCTTCAACAAGCATTTGTTCTAACCCGCTGAAGCATTGCTAGCTCTCTATCCTTAGCTAAAATAACGACCCGCCTTGATAATGGGCATGTGAAAACACAGAACGTAAGGTGTTTACGGTAATAAGATTATATATTCACCAGTAGTTATACGAGGTGATTAAAAAATGCGGATCGAGAAATTGAATGTTAGTTTGACAG